AATATGTTGTTGGATTCTGTTTGCTAGAATTTTGTTAAGGATTTTTGCATCTATGTTCATCAGTGATATTGGCCTGTAGTTTTCTTTTTTTGTGGCATCTTTGTCTGGTTTTGGAATTAGGGTGATGGTGGCCTCATAGAATGAGTTTGGAAGTTTACCTTCTGCAATTTTCTGGAAGAGTTTGAGTAAGATAGGATCACTAGCTTTCTTATGTTATCATGGCTTTTAGAATAATAAAGAATGTAGGATCCATGCTCAAAGTTCTTGATTTGGACCTTAGTCAACTTGATAAACATTTCCTGAGCTTCAGTTTCCTTACAGACAAAATAGCATAATAATAAAATCTGCTTTATAGAGTCTTTGTAAAGATTAAATGTATCTTTACATACATGTGTGTGTGTGTGTGTGTGTGTATATATATATATATATATCGCTTTAAAAGGAAGGCCGTTTTTATTCAAGCACACGGAAGGTTTTTCCTGTTTGTGTTTTGTGTGCCAGATAGCAACGGTTTGACAAGTTGCCACGGACCCACAAATAAGAGTGAATTCAGACTCGACACAACAAGTTTGCCTCTTCCTGGACCCCTTAAATCTTTTAACGTTTTGTGAAATACAAGCTTGTCTTTTTCCCTTACTTTTTTTAAAATTCAGTTATTTACCAACCTGAATTTCTACTTCCTCCTATCTCCTATAAATTATAATATTAGCTAACTGTACAGAGCCTTTGAAAGCGTGTACGTTTTTTTTAAGTCCTGTGGATAGTACTATAATCCCCATTTTACAGAGGGGAAAAATAAAGTTTGGAGAAACTTGCCCAAGCGTCCCCATGGACTGCAGCCCACTAGGCTCCTCTGTCCATGAAATTCTCCAGGCAAGAATACTGGAGTGGATTGCCATTTCCTACTCTAGGGGATCTTCCCAACCCAGGGATCAAACTGGCGTCTCCTGCGTTAGCAGGTGGATTCTTTACACTGCGCCACATGGGTAGCCCCCGAGGTCATAATACTAAGTGACAAAGCCTGTATTTTAACTGACTGTTAAATTTCAAAAGTCCATTTGTATAATCACACTGCTATACTTATTTTAAGTCCCACCTTTCCTCTGCCCTCCCACCCTTTTTTGTTGATATTGTTTTGTTTTGTTTTTTAACCAGAGAATGGCAGATTTCTTTGCAACTAAGATCTCCCTTAAGGCCAGTTAAGAGCACTGGCCTCCTCTTATTGCCTCTGATGCCCAGCCACACTTGGAATTGCTTCTGTGTCTTTGCAGCAAGATGACTCATGCCAACAGGAGTACACAGCTCAATAATAATAATACTTAGTATTCTCATAGCACCTTTTTCTGACCGATTTTGGGGACCTCTGAAGAATTATCTTACTCATATTCCCTAATGCTCAAAGAGGCAAATCTTTTTCAACAGTTAGAGAAACTAAGGCAGGAAAAGGGTAAATGACCTTGGCCAAAGCAAGATCCAGCCACTAAGATGGAGCCTGGATGAGAATGCAGTTTCATTGGACTTTTATCTCTCATCCTCTAATTCCCCAAGGCCATTCTGTCTTTGGTGAAAAGGAGTCTGCAATTACTGCTATAATTTTGCTGTCCATCTGCATACACAGGGGAAAAAATAACATCACTTTAATGTTTCTCTCTTTTCGGTTCCTGTGCATTCTCCTCTTTCATTTCATTACTTCTTGACATCTTATCTCCTGCCCAGTCTCTGGAAAAATGAGGTTTTTTTTTTTTAATCAATGAATAACTAGCAGGAAATGTTCCACATTACCATCAGTGGTCACAGGCTGTAACATAGCAAGAAAATCAAGAGGTATTGACTTTATATCGTGCTATCATTATATACTGAAAAATCTAAAGTGAGTCTTTAATATCATAATAATAGCTTTAGAAATCTAATACCTGTTAGTACAGTAGTATCATTTGACTTTTTTACTTCATACTGCTGAGAAGTCATTAAGTTGACCATGGTTGTATGGAGAGTTCATTTTACATGTGAATCTTTGATTTACAAGATTCATGAATGCAAGGCATATTTCAAAAAGTGATAGAGATTCACTTATAAAAATGTGTATCTTACAAAATCACATTTGCAGTGCTTAAATAGTAACCTAAAATCTTATATACTATTCCCTATGTCTCAAAATTTAGGAAAGGCAGTAAATAAAGTTAGTGACAATATAAAAAAATGAGGCGTATACAAAATGCTCCTGATTTGGAAAAGTAATAGTCCCCATGGCTTCAGGGAAGCAATTAAAAGCAGCTTCGTACATTAGAATGTGAGGCACTCTGGATAATTTTCGCCCTTAATGAGTAAAGCTATATTCTTTAAATTTTCCTTGAATGTCCTTTCTCTGCAGCTTTATTGCCTTACCCAGATCTGCTTTACTTTCTATTTGTGTGTACATGTAGGAAGCGAAGAATCATGTCTTCTCCATCACTGAATCCTTCCCAACCTTGAGTCAGTTCTCAGATGATTATTGGATTTCATTTTCTTCCCAGAGCTTTGACCTCCCAGCAGAGTTAGTTTCCAGTACACATCCCCTTTTTATCACTCTATACCTCTTTAATAACTGACTCAGATCTAAACTCCTATCTAACCTCTGCTTTTTATTTTTTTTACACTTCCATCTTATGAAACCATTCCATTTCATACATCATGATCTACCTTTTTGAGGAGTATCAGCCTATGACTGTTGCAGCTTCTCTGGAAAAGAAGTTTAAAAGTGCTGAGCACTAAAAGTAAACATCACTCTGTCTATATATAGAGGACAGTCCTTGTCCTAAAGAGCTTCCAGTTCAAATATAACAGAAAAATACATACTGTGACAAGAAAAATCAGAGGAAAGTTTCTTAAAATATGTAAAAGAGAACAAAGCGACATCTTAGAAAACAGCAAATCAATTTTCCCCCGTTTTAATGGAAATGATAAAAGCCTGAGCTCTGGAAAGAAGACAAAGAGGCTCTAGAGAGAGAAATTTCTTATTTACTATCAACAACCGTCTCTTATTCATGTACATTGTTATTGTTCAGTCGCTCAGTCATGTCTGACTCTTTGCCACCCCATGGACTACAATACTCCAGGCTTCCCTGTCCTTCATTATCTCCGTGAGTTTGCTGAAACTCATGTCCGTTGAGTCAGTGATGATACCCAACTATCTCATCCTCTGTCGCCCCCTTCTCCTCCTGCCCTCAATCTTTCCATTTACCAACAAAGTTTGTGACTTTGATTAGGTTGTATTTCCAGCTATGTTTGTGTTACCTTTTATGTTTTGTTACTTTATTCATTCACAGAGTAAAGAATATTGTAAACCGTTCCTTTAATTACTTAACTGTTGTTTAGCTGCTAAGTCATGTCCGACTCTTGTGACCTCATGGACTGTAGCCCACCAAGCTCCTCTGTCCATAGGATTTCCCAGGTATCAAACCCGCGTCTCCTGCCTTGGCTAGCAGATTCTTTACTGCTGAGCCACCAGGGAAAGGGAAAGTGAAAATTGCTCAGTTGTGTCTGACTCTACAACCCCACAGACTATAAAGTCCATGGAATTCTTCAGGCCAGAATACTGGAGTGGGTAGCCATTCCTTTCTCCAGGGGATCTTCCCAAACCAGGGATTGAACCCAGGTCTCCTGCATTGCAGGCGGATTCTTTACCAGCTGAGCAACCAGAGAAACCTCTATATATCAAGAAAAGTTCTGAGGAGGGGCAAATAGAGGATGCAATTAGTTCACTGAAAATCCAGAGAGAAAAGGTGGAAATTGAGGATTTAAAAGAAGGCAAATAATATTTCAAAGTCAATGTTTTAGAGATTCTTTTTCTGTTAAAGAATAAACTGATCAAAGAGTTATAGTTGAAATTATTTCCCTCATTCATTCAATGGCCATATATAGAATCCCTACTGTATATGAGGAACCAGCTGGGTGAGAGGAATCAGAAATCTTTGCCTTCTCTTGGAGGC